CTGGGAAATGTTCTCTCAAAACAGTTGCAGTTGGTTTTTTTCTGTAAAATATAGCATTAACCTAAGGGTTAGAAAGTTCACCTGAAGCAAAACAACAATGCCAAACTGAATATTGCTTGTACATTGATTTTATTATAAATAACCCTCCTTTCCAGTCGTAGTTCAAAGTTTATGCTTTACAGCTGTCAATTCCACGCTACGCTAGTACATTTCGTAACAAAGAAAATCACAAATTTCCTAAAAGACGGCTGGCAAACAAAGAAAGGTTAGAAATCAGCGTTTTGTGTTATATTAAAAAGTACACATCGCTTTTTTATTGCCATTTCTATTGAGTACTCCTTTATTGTTAGGACTCGTAATCGGGCGCATATCCTACTTGAGCAATAACGCGCTCTAGTGATAAAGATCGTCGGCGCTAAAGAAAGAAATTCAAAGATTGTGTTTTATTTATTCGAATCCTCTTATTGCGTTGTACATGATACTGCCCATCTTTGACGGAGTGCAAAAGAATTGACATATTCATTTTAGACTTTTTTGGGGCGGTCTTGTCGTAAGCGGGACGTCCGACCTGTCTAATTCAATTTTTGAAGGAGTAAGTGTTCAAGATGCCGTTTAATTTGAAGATATTGTACGCGAAGGAATTTATATTTGGGTTACATTTTTAGGCTTGATATGGCATTAAAGGAAAACAGACCTTCAAAAGGACCTCTTAAAGACTTTGACAAAGACGATCCTTCAACATATTCACCGAATAAGGGAGGGTTAGTTTCTTGTTTTTTCATTTAATTTTCATCATTTTCATTTTCTCATCAAAATTCCAGGCGGTTTTGTCTTGACGATTTTGAAATTGGCCGTCCATTGGGAAAAGGTAAATTTGGCTCTGTATATTTGGCCCGTGTGAAAGAAAACAAGTTTATTGTAGCTTTGAAGGTGAGTCTTGCAGTGCCTGTTTGGGTTTTCCGTCGTAATTCATCTAAGTTCATTTTGCGGAAAAAATTATCTTTGATTACTTTTCTTTTGCTTTGTTCAGGTTCTTTTCAAGAGCCAGTTAATTAAAAGTAACGTTGAACACCAGCTTAGAAGGGAGATTGAAATACAAGGACATCTTAGGTAGA